CAGAGCGCAGGGCGGCGAGCCCCAGCAGGGGCTCGCCGCTCTCCCCCCGGCGGCTGGGGGGAGGGCGGCCAGAGCACCGGGGGGGACTCGGCTCTCCCCCCCAGGCGGCCAGAGCGCCGCCGCCCCCCTCCAGGTGCCGCCCCAAGCACCAGCTTGGGTGCCTGGTGCCTGGAGCCGGCCCTGCTAACTGGACAGATACATTTTGTTAAGTTTAGTTAAGAGATTTAAGCTAATTGGACAGATACATTTTGTTTCAAATTTGAAGTGGAGTTGAAAATTAGCCTTTCTTTCTCTATGTCCATAGGAAAGGACAAAATCAGTAGAGAGAAAAAATATTTTGAGGCTTGTAAGAAGGAGAGGGAAACCAAGGAGAGTATTTAAAAAAAAAGAAAATGTACTGATATTATAAGTAATCAACTTTGCTTTGGATGTGAGAAATCAATACCGCTTCTGTAATATTAATGTTATTTTGTACAGTTATACAGAACTTGTAAGAATTATGAAATATGAAGCTTACATGTAGTATATTAAAATTTCTAATTTCAGATTTTTGTTTGCAATACCACATCAGTCATCTCTTTTGTAACATTTTCAAAGAGTGATTTAAGAGTTTTCTAACTTCTTGTATGTTTCTTTAATGTGATTAAAAAGAACAGAGCATTAACTGTTTGAACTTCTTTCTTGTTTCAGTTAGTGGATAAACTTAACACCAATACAGATATGGAAGAAGTGATGAGCGATTATAATATGGTAAGAGTTTGAGGATTTGCCATGTTAATATAGCATTTACAATAAATATATTTATATACATTACAACTTCAGTACTTCAAATGTTTGTGCATATGCATGGTTTTGTTGACCTAAACAGTCTAATGACTGTAATGGGATTATTCAGGTGAGTAATACTAGGCAAGTATGTAAGAGTTTGCAGGGTTGAGACCCACATCACTTTAGTGGAGCTGCCTGTGTGTGTTGTGTTAAGCACACGTGTAAGTGTTTGGAGGACTGAGGCCTTAGTTATAGGATTGTGACAGCATAAAACTCTCTTTTGTCTCAAAATTTAGCAAACACTTTATAATTATTTTCCAGAAACAGGATTGATAGTTTTAAAAAAATTAAATAGATGAAAAGTTTCTGTTATAAAAAAACTCATTGAGATATTTCTTATATGTTTTCAGTGAATACAGTTCTTTTTCTTGCTTCCCAAGGAAGTCCATGTCTAAAATTTAGATCTTGAATATACCCTGAAAACACTGCATGGGATGTTAAATGTAGTATCCTGGCATCCCAGATTCATTGTGTTAAAATACTGTGGTTGACATCCTAAATCAACATCTGTAGAGCTACAGTTATTGAAAGACTGACTAAACCTTTTCATCCAGCTATTTTGACCCAAATGCTGGGGTATCTGTGTTGGTCAGTGACACAGTTACTCTTAAAATCATCCTCAAAGCCCATGATATTTCTCTATTTAAGGTAAGAGTGATATGTCTCCCAACCCAATGTACCAATATTCACATATATCACACATTATTTGGGTGGAAGGCGCAGAAAACTAATCAGCTGAGAGGCTGACCACATTCACCAGTCTTCCTTGTAAAATTCCCCAGGCTCTTGAGTTTTTCTTCATTCTCCTCCACGCTCTGCCCTTCAAGTGACTCCAAAGCAATAGTGCATTAATGGGCCTATGGTGTGTTCAAAGCAAATACATATCAGCTGTGCTTTCCCTTGAAGTTCTTTCTTAATTTCATAAGTTTGCTGGAGGGTGCCTCCAGGCACCAAGACTGCGCCAGTGCTCACTGTGTTCATAGTCAGAAGGAACTTTTCTTTGAAAAGAGGCTTCCAGCAGCCTGAGAAGCCAGTGAAGCTATTTTTACCCCAAGTGATCCAACCTGATTATTAATAAAAACACTGATAGGCAGTTTCTGTGATTACAGCTCCCATTCAAATGCAGGCTTCCAATGGGAATTACAGTTACAGAATCCATCTCTGCAGCATCAGATAGGTCTTTGGGTAGGAAGCCACTGCTATTCCTTCCCCTCTCCATTCTGGTCTTCCATTCCTCTCGTTCATTCAAATGTGTGTATAACCTTGGATGAATGGATAGTGTTTATATTTTCATTAGTGGCAAGTATCTTTTCATGCAAAAAACTGTTACTCACTGATTATTGTTTTTTTTTTTTACAGCTGAAAACTCAAAATGACCGGGAAGCTCAGAGTATTGATATAATTTTTACAGAGAGACAAGCGTAAGTACCACAAATATCAGAAAATTGAATTTTAGCATAAAGTAGCTTATTAAAATGGGTAAGACTGAAGAAGTGATCTGATTGATCGGGGTATTTTTAACTCAGAAAAATATTGCCTAAGAGTTGAATGTATGCTCTACAAGCGCTACTGAATAAAGTTTGTAAGAAATAAAACTTCAGTCACTCAGTCAACTTTTTAAAGTACAGCATAGTCCTAAAGTACATTTAAAATATTGTTTCAATGCATTTTAATAAAGAAGTTGATTTCTAATTAGATGAAACACATAATGGGTTTGTTCTCTAAGTCAATCAGAAATTATCAGGTCAATAATCGTACAGGCTATACTGTCACTACTGCATCTGTGTTCATTAAATATTGCAATTAAGTATGTCATTCAGTACAACAAAAGTGAAGCTATTTAAAAGAACATTATGTAAGAATCAATGTCTCCTTTAAAAACAAACACTTCGTTCTTTGACTGCTTTTTGTTTCTTCGAGATTGCTTTATAGTTGGTCTGACTTCCTGACTGAAACAAACAAATGTTATCATAGCTATCATGACAGAATTAAAATGAGTTATTTAGTGATTTCTAAATACACTAAAAATGACCACATATCTGCTAACTGTTTTATAAATACACCACAAGTTTTTGTAGTATGTTTGTTTTTACAGTTGGTGCCAATTCTGTCCTCATACATGCCTAAATCTATAGCATTTATTCCAGTGGGTCTATTTGAGGATAGATTTGGGCCATTAATGTTTCAAATCTTGTTTTTTATACAATGTTAAGATCTTGTGACTTTAAAAGTTTAATAAAAATGATGAAAAATGTGGAGCATTTTGCTATCCACTGTATTTTATAAACACTTTTGTGAAATAATGCGAAATACATTTTTCTTCTAATATTAAAACAAATGTCTATTTTCTCATTTACCATAAATTATTCCTTAAATAAAATGATATTTTCCTATATCTCAACAACATATTTGAAAATCTTGAAGAGATTCATCTACCTGCAATTTAAAAACAGAAATGTCTCAGTGTTTTCTTTAAGTTGTTAAAAATATGTACTGCATTGGCAGTTTTCAAATATTCATAACATATTAACAAAAAAGACATCAGGCAACAGTGGCAGAAGATAAAAAGGTGGTTGGTATATAATAATGATAATTTGTCCTTGGATGCATTTAAGTGGTGGAGGTGAGACAGCATTTTTGTTTTACTTAAACAAATACTTTTTGTTTAGGAATAAAGAAAACTGAGTTTGGCTTAGCTGGAAAATCCCAAGTGCTCTAATCAATGTTTTTAATTTTGCCTAGTGGATAGAGCATTGAATTGAGACTCAGGAGACCTGGGTTCAATTCCCACTTCTGCCAGTGGCCTCCTGGGTGACATGGGCATGTCACTTCCCCACTCTGTTCCTCGGTTCCTGGCTGTAAAACAGGGGTAATGATGCTACCTTTGTAAAGTGTTTTGAGATCTACTGATGAAAATACTATATAAGAAGTAGGTATTATTTTCCCCCATTATAATCAAACAGTGAGATTTTAGTGTCAGACATATGGAGTATATGCTTATGTACTTTGAAATATTTGTTACTGTGGTAATACATGCACATCACCAGATTTCTTACCTCTACAGTTAATACAACATGTGCCACACATTTGTCCAAAAGAGAGAGATTGAGAGCTTTGAGTTCTATCTGTGATATATACTAGAAATATTTATATACAAGATTTTGAACGGATTGATCCTATATAATCAGCTATTGAAAAGCCAAATTATCATCCATTATATAAGAATTTAGACCTCTTCAGTTAATCCAGGGTCGTCTATATATTTGTCCTCAATAAATCCATCCTCGTCAAGTACAAATGTATGAGTTTGTTCAAATACTACAATGGAATCTTGCTCATTGGTATTTGATATTGATGAAGAAGTGCTCAGATCAGTTGTGAACTCCTTATCAAACATTTCTGGTTCATATTCTTGGAGACGACGGTGATTGTAGCTGATCAAGTAGCGGTACCACAGTGGGAATTTTATGGCAATAAAAATCAGTAGTGAAGAGCTTAGGACAAACACCAGAACACCGAGCAGAAAGACCCAAGTTTTGCCAAGAGGTGGAGAACCTTAAAGAATACAAAAGAAAGTAAAATCACATTAAATTAAATATCTTAAACCAAAATAACCAGCTCCTTGCATAATAACCAAAAGAACTATGATATTAATTGCTTCATGGCCCAATAAGGGACTCATGGAAACAAAGTGATAGAGAGAAGAATTCTTGAGACTCTTTGTACAGCATTAATAGAATACTAATGTTTGGGCAACCAAAATCTCTGCACTGAGAACAAACTTTTTACGTGCGCGTACCTAAGTCCATATTTTCACCCTCTAGATACTCAGAATGTGCTGTGTGGCCAAGTTTAAATAGGTAACTTCTTTTCAGGACTGAAGGTCTGTTGAAATGTTCTGGGCACATTCCTCGAATCATTATTCAGCTTTTAAGTGAACTTTAGATTCATCCCTGGAATAGGACAATAGAACGTGTAATTGACTTTCATTTTCATTTTCAAGCTTCAAGCTGACATGATTGCCCTCTAGAACATCTACATCCAGATCGGCACTTTTTAATTTTCTTTCATTTTGCACATCTCTCCAGATATATTTCCTTTATTATGAAAATCCCAACAGATCATAGCTGCCAAGAATCTTTATTTGGAAATCTACCCTGTGTGTTCACAGTGCTGGCTAGTGTCCAGGGAATTATGGCAGCTGCTGCATCCTAAGGGACTTTGTGGCTGTGCTGGCCTCCTAGGTATAAAACGATCCAGAGATTGCCATCCCTTTCTCCCACTTCAGTCACTCATCGGTCCTATTGGTCTCTTTGTGCAGAGGAGAGAGAGTCTCAGGAGCAGGAAGCGGAGCTGCTACTCTGAGTGGGAAAAGGCAGGGGAGCAGAATCATTTGGCTGGAGGATGAAGTAGAGAATAAATTGTGGGTCAAAAGGGAGAGGAAGGGTATCAAGTGGGGGGTGGAGGTGGTTCAAAATGGGACACCAATGGTGGAGAAAGTGGTGTAAGTGCTCCCCATGCTACCCCTATTGGAAACATGAAGAACAGTCATGGTGCCCTCCCACTGAACACACCAGAGGTTAGGGATAAGGGTATGGGTAAGTAAATCAGTAGACCTTGTTTACATACCAAGAAGAAAACTAAAAATAGGAAGGAGCCTATTTCAGGCATAGAAGATTGTGGGCAGTTTAACTGGGTGGCTTGATTGTAGTTCATTTAAAATACAAACACTTGGATGGTTATTTGAACCTCAAATCTTCTTCTCACATCATTAGTTTATAGATATTATTTTACAATATTCCATAATGGAGTTCTAATTCAGGTCAGTTTTGAGCTCCTGATAAAGTTAAACATAACATAAATTCCACATAATGTGAACACAATATTTCTGTGCCTAGGAGCACAGCAATCCCCATATCCCTCACTTATTTGGAGAAATGTCCCATAGCACTGGTATTGGACAGTGCTATTATAAAGTATTAAAATGAAACATCAATACATCACCTGGATGTGATGCATTGCTCCTAATATTGTTGTTTGAAGAGTTGAGAGAGGATGTTAAAATGGAAATGATTTTAGGACTGATGGCAGACGTGAAAGGTGTAGTGATTGCTATAGATCCTCTTCTTGAGTCACAATCAGATTTTTGGATAGGTGCTGTCTTGACAGAAGATTTGTTCCAGACATCTGGATATGCACACAGAGTGTCATTTTCATGTTCTGAAAGTATGAATAATAAAAAGGTAATGAAAGATTATATTTATAGGGTCTGTGCTGCAGTGTAAGTGAGATATTGTGATATATAAGTGAGGTTCATTATTAATTAACAGTATTAAATCATATTTTATACATGAGAGCAAGCTGGATGAGGCGCAACCAGGTAAGACCAAGATAATGCTGGTTGATTGGAGAGAAACAAACACTGCAGAGGGATTACTTTTGTAAATATTGTAATGTCCTGAATGCTGCTGTTGTCAAAACTTACCCATGGTCACATTTGAGGTATTCAGCCATTTCTGTAAACTGAGCAGGCCACAGGAACAATTCCATGGATTTCCATTTAAGGTAATCAGTTTAAATGATGCTTTTACATCAAAGTACTTCAACAAATTGTCCTGTAGACTCAAAATCATCAGGTTTTTTAGCGATGCAATTGTGTCAGAATCCAACTGGGATATTTTGTTATGATTTAGATACAATATGGATAGTTGATTTAGGCCTTTAAATGCAGCCTGTTCAATTGTACTGATATAATTACTACTAATATCTAGAATTGTGAGTTTTGACAGATTGCAGAAGGTATTATTATGTAGCACAGTAATGGCATTTTCATTCAGATAGAGTTCAGTCAAGTTAATAAATAGCTGCAGAACCTTTTTGTCGGTATCATTTAAAGTAATGTTGTTATTGCTAAGATACAGTTTAGTAACATTTTTACTTAGGGAGGTAGGGATAGAAGAGTAATTCTTTGCAGATTCCTCACAAGTGACCTGTTGAAGGGAGAGAGAAAAACAATATAAACAAAGAAAATTACAAATTATTTTCTAGTAGGGAGGGTTGATGGTGAAGGAGAGAGAAACAGTGACAAGCACCTGCAGTGCAAAAAACCCTTGTAACCAACTCTTTGAGGTCCAAAAGGAAAGCCGTCCTGGGCCTGTACTATCCTATTCCTGATTTTCTTAAAAATATACTTGTGGGATATACTGAGGTGGTGAAAATCATCTCAGGCCTTGTCTACACTACAGGGAAAAGTCAATCTAAGCTATGCAATTTGAGTTACGTGAATAGCATAACTCAAATCGAAGTAGCTTAGATCTACTTACCGTGGGGTCCACACTATGTGATGTCGACGGTAGACGCTGTCCCGTCGGCTCCCCTTACTCTTCTCGATCCGATGGAGTACAGGAGTCGACAGGAGAGC